CTCAAACCAAAAACAAACAAAAAATGGGGTGTGTGTGTGTGTGTTCAGAAATAGTTTGGGTGACTGTTCTTTTCACAGCGCTCACAACAGACACTCACAAGTTCAGTCCCCATGGAGTAGGAAGCAGTCAAGTCTTTTTTGCTCTATATCAGAACTTGACAAGCTTGGAGGCCACTGACTAGGGACAAAGGAAAGCCCCCACTTAGAGGAGACTTGTCAAAGGCACCAGGCCCAGCTAGGATGGCAGGGATTCTGGAAACTCAGAGAAGCCAGCAGGCTCACGGCTCTGCACCAAAGCCCTGGGGTTCGGCTGCCAGACAGCCTGAAGCTGTCAAACAAACCCACTTTCTTTCCCCCTAATTACAAAAGACTTTCAGATGCACCCCTGTCAGATTTTTTGAGTCCCCCTCCCTGACATTCTCCTAATTCACAGATGTGTGCCCTTTATGCATTTTACACATATGATGGTGTTCTCCAGATCTCGGCGTTGCCAAGGAAACTCAGGTATCAAGATAGCTGTCCCAACCCCCAAAGATAAACCTGGCCTGTGTGATGGCTGCTGAGAGAGGAAGGCAGAGAGCCTCTTGCAAAGTTCCCTTGAATTTACGTGTGGCATGATCCCTTCTGTTCCCAAGAAGGGTTTTATCTAATCTGCCTAGAACGTGCTCCACTGACTGACTGCGTTATCACTATAAAAAAATCTATTGAACTAAAGTTCCTCCTCTGCAGTTTTTGAACATGGGATCTGCCCTGTCTGAAGGCAGTGTCATAAGCAAAATGATATGTGTATAAGGATGTCTACCAGAGCATTGTTTAAAATTGTGAAAGATCAGTAAAAACCCATCAGTAGAGTCGTGGGCTATATATTGTAATGCTAGGAATTCAACATGTAGCAAAGCAAGTCTTTGATTGGTATAGATGGGGAATACATGTAAATCCATGGCTAATTCATTTCAATGTATGACAAAAACCACTGCAATGATGTAAAGTAATTAGCCTCCAACTAATAAAAATAAATGGAAAAAAAATTAAAAAAAAATAAAGTAATGATTCCATTCTGATAAAAATCAATGGTAACAATAATAATTTTAGCATATGATAGGGGAAAAAATGAAGGAATGTGGGTCAAAAGGTTAACAATGATACCTGGGGATTGGTGAAGTGGGATGGAATCTGGAGAGACTTCACTGAGTGTTGTGTTTACAATGTTTCAATTTTATATAACTTTGTTTTCCTTTTGGATCAAAACAAGGAAGGAAGGAAGGAAAGAAAAATAGTATTAGAAACATTTCTTCATTCCCTGGATCCCTGGTCTTGATGTTGTACCCTCTCATTAGCCAAGGTGAGGATTAGGGCTGAGGTGCTTGCATGCAAAGCTTTTTTCCTGGAGAGAGGCAGTCTATTTCCGTGGTTGCAGGTTTTATTCCACAACATGCAGCAGCAGCTTATTGCCTTCACTCATTTGTAATGGCTGTGTCCTCAACAGGACATGTACCAGTAGGCATTTATATATTAAAATACTTGAGGTAGCTCACTGTGGTATTTGACCACTGAGGAGTTTGAAATTCATTTATATATCACCTTTGGTTAAACTGATAAAGTCTTTTTTTTTTTTTTTTTCTGGAAGTAAAACTCTATTTTAGAGTTTACTTTTTAAAAAAACTACTCAATTTGTGAGGATATTTATTGCAACAGAAAGAATGGAGAACTTCAAGGTGCTGAGATTAAAATCTGATGTAGACTATCCATCCATTCAAAACTTTAAGGTTTCTATGGCTTTTTATATCTTAAACATGTCTATACATGCACAACCGGAAATTTTGACCCCAAATATTGCCTCAGTTTACTGGATATTTTCAGGGAGTATATATATGTTCTTTTACTTTATGTCTCCAGACTTAGCCTAACAAAACTTGGCATATTTGCATAGATTTTTTTTGTTTGCAATTTATTTAATTCATCCACTCATTCAATAGACATCTATTATTATTACATATTACATACATACATATTACATATTATTACATCATTAAAACATAGCTTACATTTAAAAAAATAGCTTACATTTAATAGGTATATACTACTTGCTGGCAGTTAACACAAGCTAACATTTAATTCCCATTTATTACCTGCTGCTCTTTAATGCCTTCTTTTTGTGTGTGGCACTGGAGAGGACAGAAAGATGTTACCAAGACCCTGAAAGTGTATACTAATAGATGATCCAAATATGGCTCTGTGCTCCCCAGGAGGGTGAGCTAGTAGCTGACTAGATGGTGCAGTTGCTAGACTGAATAATAAATCCTGGTTCTCATACTTGAGCATCCAGTTAGCCTGGGACAGATTAAGGAGTGCCTAGAATGGTAGGCTAGAGCTGGGTGGTCGTCTCAACACAGAGGAGAGTCACTGAAAGTTTTGAGGCATATGTGAGTAGCTGAGAAAGGTGAGATAGGCGCTAAGATGATTTGAAGTTTTTTGTTTTTAATGATTTCATATTTATTTGGCTGTGCTTGGTCTTCGTTGCTGCCCAGGCTTTTCCCTGGTTGAGGCAAGCGGGTGCTGCTCTTCCTTGGGGTGCACAGGCTTCTCACTGTGGCAGCTTCTTTTGCTGGGGAGCACAGGCATGTGGGCTGCAGTAGTTGCGGCATATGAGGCTCAGTGATGGCGGCCCCTGCGCTTTAGAGCACAGGCACGGTAGTTGTGGCTTTCGGGCTTAGCTGCCCTGGAGCATGTGGGATCTTCCTGGATAGGGATCGAACCATGTCTCTTGCAGTGGCAGGCGGATTCCTTACTGCTGAGCCACTGGCTGCTGCTGCTGCTGCTAAGTCGCTTCAGTCGTGTCCGGCTCCGTGAGACCCCATAGAGGGCAGCCCCCCAGGCTCCCCCGTCCCTGGGATTCTCCAGGCAAGACATTAGGGGAGCCCAATTTGAAGGTTTTTAGGCTAAGAGACTGGGAATCCAGAAATTATATTTTGATAACTTTAATTTGATATCACAGTTTCTGTTAACAGAATCAGATCTTGAAAAATAATTAGTTCAATTTAAAACAATTAGTTGATCTAAAAATCAGTTCTCCTCAAAGTAACTATTTGATTGAATATAAACTCTTTTAAAAAGTCATGTTTTTAGACACAGATTCTAGTTTAAGATTATGTTAAGGGTGGTTGGAGAAAGTGGGTCCAATATGTAATCGATCCCAGGTATTCAATTTGCCTCCTCTGAGGCTTTGTTTCTTACCTTGAGAAGTGAAGACTGTTACTTGAGTCCAAACCCCCACATACCCTTTATTCTCTTTACATTTGAAAGAGAAATCAAATATTGACTCCTTTTTAAAAAATTCTTTACTGGAGGCTTAGTTACATTTAAGTTTTACTTTCCTCACAAGCAGCATCTTCCAGCTCCACCTATGATAGCAATAGGGATCAGTGAAAGAAGTTATCTTTGGCTACAGACACAAAGCCTCCTAATTAGCAGCAGGAGTCTCATTCCCTTCAACTGTAGAATTACAGGCCAGTAAATGCACCTTGAAATCACTGACGCTCTCAAGGGGAGGCAAAGAACCTAGTCAGACTAAGTTTCAATCCCAGTTCTGCCACTCATGAGTCTTGAAATCTCGGGGAAGTCATTCAGTGTTTCTGTAGCTTATTCTCATCTACGAAATACAGCTAATTAATAATAACTCATCCCAGGTGTGTGCTAGTTGTGAGAATTGCTAAACAATGGGCAAACGGAGTTGACCACGTGCCAGGCATGTTGTCAGCATCTTGTTCAAAGTTGAGTATATATTGTCTCACGCACACCTCAGGAGAGACAAGCCGCTGAGAAAACAGCATTTCTAATAGAGTTGTTGGTTCCCAAGTCATAGTACCGTGCTCTTACTTTAGGTGAGCTCTAGACGTAAAAATATAACAAAACCCCTTCACAATTTATTCCTCCAGGGTCAATTGTTCTGAGAGCATTACTGAGAGAGGAGCCTGGCGGGCTATAGTCCATGCGGTTGCGAAGAGTCGGACACGACTGAGTGACTAACGAAGATGCACTTTCCACATCTTTGATTTTTGTAAAACTATCCTCCCCAAACCAAAACTGATGCGCTCTCTCTCCCAGTCTGGCCTGCTTCACAGCTGTTCACATTCCCTCTGGGATTTTCAGAAGCTCCACTTGATCTGCAGGAGCCAGAGGAAAGTAAACATCTCCGTCAGGCAGGCACCCCACCCACCATTTTATTTTCCTAAATCACTCCTTTAGCTAATAGTTCTGGGACAGACACGCGACGCATCTGGCTCCAACCAAATATTTTCAGTCAGTCGGATTCCAAGGTAAATATTTGCCAGTTCGATTGCAGTAACATTGGTAGCCAGAAGCAAGGAACCATTAATCAACTTTCAATCAGGGCCCCAGCAGCTGTAGGGGTGTCGTGGCCCCGCCCATTCCCGTGAGCCGCTGCACGGGCCCCCGCCCCTGCATTTCCGGTCCTGCGTGCTGGGGCCTGAGCGGTTCTACAGGCCTGTGAAGGCAAAGCCCAGGGAAGAAAGGTAACTGGTGGGCTAACTTGCCTCCTCCTACGAGAATGTTTCTTTTTCAGCCAGGTGTTGTCTTTTACTTACTCTCCACGACTTGTCACCTTGTGAGATGGTGTTGGTTGTGGGTATTTGGAAGTGTTGAGACACACGAGGGAAGGGTCAGGAAGCCTCTGAGGACGCGTGATGATGGAAGGAATTTGAGGTGGAAGGCCAGGGAGAAGCCTCCAAACTCTTGTTCCTGTTATTTAAGTTGCTACGTTAAGAGACTCATAACATTGGCCCACGGCCCTTTTTTTTTTAAATTTATTTTAATTGGAGGGTAATTACTTTACAGTATTGTAGTGGTTTTTGCCATACATTGACATGAATCAGCCATGGGTGTACATGTGTTCCCCCATCCTGAATCCCCCTCCCACCTCCCTCCCCATCCCACCCCTCAGGGTCATCCCAGTGCACCAGCCCTGAGCACCCTGTCTCATGCGTCAAACCTGGACTGGCGATCTATTTCACATATGATAATATTACATGTTTCAGTGCTATTCGGCTTTTGAGTGAAATGAACAAATAGGGATTTGTGTCTTACCAAGTCATTTGCACTTTGGTGAGAAAATCTTTTTTTCTCAAAGGGGTGCATTTAATGCAGGAGGAATAATGAAGGAGAAATGAGGAGTCAGGAAGATAAGGAGAGTAGGGTGGATGTACATCAGAAGCAGACTTCTTCCCTCATTCTGTGGCAGGGTTTCTTAATCTTTTGGGGGTCCTTTTATGACTATGAAAACTAAGGCCTGTTTGCTGGGTTTCCACTGTGTTCATCCCAAGGAGGTTCCCCCAGAAGTGTGTGTGTGGGGGGACTTTTCCTTCCATCCCTGTGGCACAGGTTGGCGGTGCCAGGTTGTGTCCTGCCCACGCCTCAAGGTAGTGTCTCTGTCCTGAGACTCGCTGCACCCAGGAGCCTGCCTGGGAGCACACCCTCACTTCATGTGTTGCCAATTTATTAACAACAAATAAACCAATTAAATGGAAAAAAATCTTTTCCCCAGGGAAAGGTTTGTGGCCACAACATCTTGACTATAATCTGAGGAAATTCGTGTATCCTCAAAACCCATCCTTCTCCCAGATTCCCTTGCGGGAGCCTTCCACCCCAGGCCAGGAAACCTTGGGTTTTTAGGTATAGTATGCCCTGGACCTGAGGATAGGGATATTCCTTGTCTTGCCCAGGGGCAACACTAGGGTGTAAAGAGTGAGGCATTCCCCATAAGTGCAAAATTTAAGGGAACATCAAAAAGATCAGAAATCAAGATAATGTTTTAATGCAGTATTATAAACAAATGTGCAAACTATAGCTGTGGCTAGTCACCTTCTTTTGTAAACAAAATTTTATTGTAACCAGAGTTCCAGTTGGATGAGATGGGTGAGGCAGGTTTGCACAAGTGCAGAGTCCAATTCTGTCTGTCTTTAGAATTTTGATATTGTGTGTTTTGTTCATGGATTTTTAATTTTTTAGATAGTGCATTAAAATATTATGTTTTGAATGCTGAGTTTTTTGTGTTCCCCCTTTAAATTGGCACCTGACAATTTAAGTGACAATTTAAGTGACAAAGTACCTCCTTTGCCTTACCTTAGCCCCAGCCCTGCTTATGTGCAACATACTGTTTAACTAAAAATCATATCTAAGTGAATACTTACTATGTGCTAGGCCCTTGTGGCCTCACATTTACAGACAGCAGGGATAGTGGGAAAAACTCTGACCTGTTAAGAGGGTTGAGGTCTAATCTTCGCTCTGCCATATTGCTAAATGACCTTGGCCAGGTCACTGAACTTTTCTGAGCCTCCTGTTATCTGCAGAATGAGAAGATGAGACTGGATACATTCCAGTTTTGGCAGTCTATGGTTCTGTGACTTTGAAAGGCAACTAAGCCATATTATTCCCTAGAGAACATCCCTCAGTGAGCACCCAATTCCACACCTCAGCCTTCCAGGATTTCCTTGTCTGACCTCCTTAATGAAAAGACTATATACTACAGCATTTCATTTGCCTTAATGTGAGGGCCGTGACTATCAAATGTCTCCTAAATTTGGTTAATGATTGCGAGAATCAAAGATTTTGACAGCAGAAGAGAGTAAGGTACAGAGTAATTTTGTTTTAAGAAAATGAGGCTCAGACAGGTGAAGTTAGTTGACCAAGGTGGCACAAGTGTTAGATTTAGAACCAAAACTCCATTCTCTGACTGCCATCCGGTTTTCTTTCCACTTCACCGTGATGAGATAGGATGCTTAACTTGCTGTTTCCCTCCAGAGAATTTCCTAAAATTGCTTTGAATATTCTCTCACGATGGTCTCTCCAAGTCCTGTGTTTTGCTGGTTTCCTTGTTATGATGTTGCTCTCCAAACAACTCTGGAATTCACCCACTTCTGAGGGATTGGGAGCCAGAATTCTTCATCAGTGCCTTACCCTCAAGACCTTTTCTCTCCCAACCCCATCTTGGGTGACTTAACTTCTATGGGGATTTTTAAAAAACTGATATAAGGTATATAATCTTAGAAAGTGAATTTCCTCCTCCTTTCTTTTGAAAGATATTTTTAAACATGGAGAGAATGAATGATGCATAACAACTCTATCAGGAAGGTACTGTTATTATTCCTGTTTTACTGATGAAGAAACTGGGGCATAAAAGGATTAAGTAATGTGCCCAATGTCTTTCAGCTAAGTATCAGAACCAGGACTCAAATCTAGACATCCTGACTCCTGGGTCTGTGTTTTTAACCAGCACAATGTGTGGCCTCTCTTATGGGCTATTTCACCTCAGCTTGGACAGTTCCTATAGTGGGAAGCTTCTAGGGGATCTCCATTTTGTTGGTGGGCAGCTTCACCAGTAAGAATGTCTTTTTATCTGTTGGTACAAGCTATAGGCAGTTGTCCAAAATCGTTTTCTATTGTCTAAATAAGAAAAAAGGTTAAAAGGAGATTGAGCAACACAAAGAATAAAATCCCTCAGTCTACCCTGCCTCCACCAAACATTCCTGACCCACTTCCAGTTCTGTGGGCTTCCTAAAAAGACAAAGTTCCCTCTTTCAGTTTTGTGTCTTTTGAAAGTAAAATCCCCACTCTGTGTATAAACACATAAACACATTGTTTCAGGAAAGATTTAAGGTAGCACACATGGATTATAAAATACAGTTAAGTAGCATAAATTCAAAGTGTATGACATGATCTAGTAATTTCACTTTTAGGTATTCATGCTTCAGAAATACTTGCAGGAGCTTACAAGGATAAATATTCAAGGATTTTTGTTGTGTCATTTTTGTAGTTGTGCAAAAAACATGGTAGGCAGTTTAAATATACATCAGTGATAAAATGGCTAAATAAATAAATAATGGAGTACCTTTACTTTGAACTACTTTGTAACTTCAAACAATTTTGTAACTTCAAACAAAAGGTAGTTCTTCCTATACTAACATAGAAAGATGCTAGTGTGGAATTTAGAAAGTAATTTTTAAAACTATGTTTGTCAAAAAGAATATATGGTGTGCACTGAAAAAGGTTTTTAGGCATATACTCCAAATTATTAACCATGGTTACCCCCAGGGATAGAAGTGGTGATAGCAAAGGGTGAAAAAACTTTCAGTCAATCAAGATCACCCCTTATAATTTAGACTCAAAGGGCAAGTGTTTTTTGAGCAGCTTGGCTCAGGTCCAATACATCCTGAGTCTTCAACTAATGTTTGTTGAATTGATTAAGAAGCTGGATCTTATCTTCAGTATATATTGATAATTTAAAGTTTATTGCTGACACAGTAAATAATCATCTGAAAGAAAAAAGATATTCCACGTTAGACTCTACCAAAAAAATATCAAAATTGCTTCTCTGCTATTCAAACTACTTTTAACTATTTTTGCATAATGCTTAAGTAAACTCCATATTTGCTCTGGAAAAAAATCATTATTGACATTTTAAAAATTGGTGCTTGATGAAAATATTTTTCATCCGGAGGTACAGCAGTTTAAAAAAAGCCACTTTTTTTCTCATTTCAGAAGTTAATAATGTGGAAAATAATAGTGTAAAGAAAAAAAAGAACCTGTAAACCAAGCCCTAAAGGTAACCACTGTGAACATTTAACTGTACTTTCCCATCTTGTATGTTCAGCCTTTTTAAATAGATTCTTCTATTGTGATAAAATATATATAACATAAAATATACCATTTAACCATTTTTAAGTATACATTTCAGCAGCATTAAGTACATTCACATTATTGTGCATCCATAGTGACTTTCCAACATCAGAACTTTTTCATCATCCCAAACTAAAACTCTGTATCCATTCAGTAATAACCCCCCATTCTTCTCTCCCCCAGATACAAATAGCCACTAGACTACTTTCTGTCTCTGTGAATTTAACTACTTTAGTTACCTCATTGGAGAAGCAAATGGCAACCCACTCCAGTATCCTTGCCTAGAGAATCCCATGGAGGGAGAAGCCTGGAGGGCTATAACCCATGGGGTTGCAAAGAGTCGGACATGACTGAGTTACTAAACACAGTTACCTCATACAAGTGAAATCATGGAATATTTGTCTTTTTGTTTCTGGCTTATTTATTTCTGGCTATGTTTTTAAGATTCATCCATGTTGTATTATGTATCAGAATTTCATTATTTTAAGGCTGAACAAAAACCCTTTGTAAATATGTGCATTTAGTTTATTCATTCATCAAAGGACATTCGAGTTATTTCCATCTTTTGGCTATTGTGAATAATATTGTTATGAACATTGGTTTAGAAATATCTGTTCGAATTCCTGATTTCAGTTCCTTGGATATATATCCAAAAAGAGCGTTGCTCAATCATATGCTAATTCTATGGTTAATTTCTTATGGACCACTCACTGTTTTTGACAGCAGCTACATCATTTTACATTCCCACTAGCAGTGCATAAGGGTTCCAAATTTGCCAACACTTGTTTTTTTACCTTTTAAAAAAATAATAATAATCTCCATCCTAATGGGTGTGAACTGGAATCTCACTGTGGTTTTGATTTGTATTTCTCTAGTGGTATTGAGCACCTTTTCATGTGTCTGTTGGCTGTTAGTGTATGTTCTTTGGAGAAATGTCTATTCCTGTCCTTTGTACACTTTTTAATTAGGTTATATTTGTTTTTGCATTGTATGAGTTTTTGTATATTCTTAATATCAGTCCCTTATCAGATACATGATTTGCAAGTATTTTGGCCTGTTCTGTAATTGCTTTTTCTTTATATTGATAGTGTTCTTTGCACTATTTTTTTAATTTTGAAGAAATCCAGTTTATGTTTTTGTTGTTGTTGTTGTCTGTGCCTTTGGTGTCATATCCAAGAAGCCATTGGCAAATCCAATGTCATGAAACTTTTCCCTATGTTTTCTTCTATGAGTTTTATGGGTTTTTTTTTTTAAGGTCTCGCTTTTAAGTCTTTAACCCATTTTGAGTTAATTTTTGTGTGTGTGATGTATTGTAAGAGTCCAGCTTCAATCTTTTGTACATTCATATCCAGTTTGGGCACTGTTTGTTGAAAAGATTTTCTTTTCCTCATGTGTTGTGCTTTTCTGATGCCAGACTTTTTCTGGCTGAAGCCCAGACTGCTTCTTGGGGTTTCCTCACCCTCACAGGTGTGTGCTCAAGGGATTGTAAAGTTATTTAACTGGGAACAAAATGAAGACATGATGAACTTATTTAGTACTGAAGCATGGTGTCTCAGCAGAGTCTTGTGAAAGTGATAGTTCAATTATTGACTATAGAGAGCTTGCTGGAACCTCAGTTAAACCAGTTTCATTTGTTGTGAAATGAGGATGATGAGAAGAAGACCTACCTTGTTTTACCAAACAATAGCACAAATGCTGGAATATTATTATGGCTAATAGTCATTATTGTGGTTAATGTTTATGAAGAGAGTACTAAGTGCTGCTGCTGCTAAGTCACGTCAGTCGTGTCCAACTTTGTGCGACCCCATAGACGGCAGCCCACCAGTTTCCCCCATCCCTGGGATTCTCCAGGCAAGAATACTGGAGTGGGTTGCCATTTCCTTCTCCATTGCATGAAAGTGAAAAGTGAAGTTGCTCAGTCGTGTCCGACTCTTAGCGACCCCATGGACTGTAGCCTACCAGGCTCCTCTGTCCATGGGATTCTCCAGGCAAGAGTACTGCTCTGTGTTAAATGTTTTACATGTAGTATCTTACTTAATACTCAAAACAGTCTTATGAGGTAGGTGCTATCATTTTTACCACTTTAACCATCCCTGAGCTTCTTTTATGATCTATAAATTGAAGAAAATTGTATCTACCTTGCAGAGCTGTTTTGAGGGTTAAATGAGAATAGTAAACGTAAAAAGCCTAATGAAGAATATACACAGTAGATGCTTAACATGTTAAGTAAATCCTTTCCTTCAGTTCAAGGAGTGAGTCCAAAAAACACAAGCTACATAATATGAGGATTCTGCTTGGTTTCTAACAATCTTATATTTGCTGATACTTCCCCTTCAAGGTGAATAGTAATGATTATACTAGTCAGATAGGAAAGTCTGATACCATATGAGACAGGGATATCTTGTAATCATCTACCTGTCGGAGACTATAAATAATCAGACACTAGGACAAGTTTCGCAGTCACTCATTGAGAAACTGAACAAGCACCAGCAGTCCTGGAAACAGCTGGCTGTGTTTCTTGGTTCAGTGTGTTTAGTGATCTTTTAACATTTCATCATTTTGACTGATAAAGTGTCTTTTCCTTAAACTTTTTCATTTTATTAGCTTTACTCATTTCCTTTGTTTTATTTTTTGATAATGATAACAGTGAATATGTACGACTGCATGAGACCAAACTAGAAGAGATGGGGCTTATATTAGCCAATGCATTAGTCCTTAGTGGGTGTACTTAGTCAGGGTCAGGTCTTCTGGATATCATTTGGACATGCATTGGATAGATCCAGGACACAATATTTCTGTTTAGCTGTAGCTAATAAATTAACTGACAGTGGGGTCAATTCCTGCTCCTCTGTGGCAGCTGGGCCCTCCCTTGGAGCCTCTTTACAATCCCTTCACTTATTGTTAATTGATTTCCTAATTCCGCACAGCAGCTGTTGTAAGCAAACCTCTTCCCCCTCCCCTCTGTCCCCTTAATCTTCTCCCTGCTCTCCTCACACCGAGTGGCAGGTGATTGTGCCTCCGTGATCGCTTCTCTCTTCCATCACCGGTGGGTCTTCTGTCCTCCTCACCTCATGTCCCTTGGGCCCATGTCCCTGCGTAACCCCTTATCTTTCCGGGTCTGTCTCCTTCTCCCTCTCCCCTAGCTTCAGTCTTGCCTCTTCTTTTTCTTTGAACTGTAAATGAGCTCAAATATTCTCCAACCTAGAGAAGCCTAAGCATATTTGCTTTGAAGTTAATTTATTTCTCCTTTCACTATGGGCAAGCTTTTTTTTTTCATTATAAAAGTAATAAAGTAGTAGAAAAATTGGGAAGTACAAATAATGGAACATATTTCAAACATCCATAATCAAACTTCTGGAAAGTAATCACCAGTGTTAACATTTGGGTTTGTATCCTCCCAGTATTATTTCTATGCACTTATAATAGTCATTTATGTCAACATTGAAAGCATTCTGGGTATTCTATTTTGTAAGTTGACACTTCTGTCAATGAGTATTCTTTGTTATTTTTTAATTACTGTATGAAAATTTTCATTATATGGATGCATTGTAATTTAGCCGTTTTAAACCATAATCATAGGGTTATTTTCCATTATTTGCTATAATTAACATTACAGTACAACCTTTGCAAATAAGTCTTTTCACATATTCCCATTTTTTTCTTTAGTATAAATTTCTGAAGGGAAGTTCCTGAGTGTGTATTTACTGCAAAATACAAACATTGTTGAAAGAGTAGTGTACTGTCATTCTTTCAACTTTTAACTCCCATTCACTAACTTCCAGGCAATCCTGGTCCTTGTACCATCACTGAAGCTGCTATGTCAGAGGTTAAGGTTAACATCAATTACTCATCACAAGTCTTCCCAGACTTTATCCATCCTAATCTCTTTGCAGCAACTACCACTTTCTGTCATTTTCTTTTAAAAATGTTTTTCTCTTCTATTTTACCTGAGTCCTTTAACTTCTCTGGTAATAACACATTTTCCTGGTTCTTTTTCTTCTGCCTCATCTTTTACTTTACCCTCACTCTAGATGTTCAACTGTTGAGTTCCTGCCACTGCCGCATAGCTCTCAGCATAAATCTGACCTGATGTGGGGTCTGCTGGCCTCTCCATCCTCACATTTCACCACTCTTCCCCAACAGCTTGCTTTCCCCATCCATACACATGCTTTATGTACCAGTCATTCTGAACTAATTGTTTTTACTATGCCTTTGATCATGCTGTTCTCTGTGCTTAGAAATTCCTTCTCCCCTTCTTCACTTGATGAAGTTCTGCTTATCCTTCAAAATTCACCTCTTTTAGGAAGCTCCTTGACAACCACCTCCCCTGCTCTCCTTAATGTGTCTTTGTCTCTTGGCCTGGCTGACTAAGGTCACCCTTCTCTATACTCTCATGTTTGTGTTTCTTTTCTTGTGCTGTGTTATAACTGTCTGTCTCCTCCTATAAGCTGTGAATTCCTGGAGGGCAGGAATTGTAACTTCGAGGATTATATTCCCATAGTATAGCATGATACTTGTCATCTAGTAGAGACTTGTGCAAAACATCTTCCATCCCCTAATCAAATCATATCAAATCAAATCAAACCATCTGATCTTCCTCTGGGAACCTCTCCACTGCCTGAATCCTGAGCTGTAG